TTGACTTACTTAACTTACTTAACTTACTTAACTTGACTTACTTAACTTACTTAACTTACTTAACTTGACTTACTTAACTTACTTAACTTACTTAACTTGACTTACTTAACTTACTTAACTTACTTAACTTGACTTACTTAACTTACTTAACTTACTTAACTTGACTTACTTAACTTACTTAACTTACTTAACTTGACTTACTTAACTTACTTAACTTACTTAACTTGACTTACTTAACTTACTTAACTTACTTAACTTGACTTAACTTGACTTAACTTGACTTACTTAACTTACTTAACTTACTTAACTTGACTTACTTAACTTACTTAACTTACTTAACTTGACTTACTTAACTTGACTTACTTAACTTACTTAACTTACTTAACTTGACTTACTTAACTTGACTTACTTACTTACTCAACTTGTCTTACTTCACTTATCACCAAAACTTTACTTTTTATTAAAAAACTTTACCTTTTTATTAGTTAAAGAAGGGTTGGTTTTTTATGATCTTGTTAGCACTTCCTCCGTATTAACCTCTGGAAATTCGGCGCAGCAAACGCGCCTACTTTTGCCCCCGATACGGTATTTCACGCGTTAGAGGTACCACTAGACCATCAGGGCTATTGGTGAAATGGTTATGTTTTTTATTCTACTTAATCATTTTCCCTTCGACTCTATAATTAATGAACACACTTGTTGAGGCCCAAAATGCTTTTTGACTACAGTGGGATTCGAAACTGGGGCCACACTCTTGCAACACTTTGTCCTTACCACTAGACCATCTCGCCTACACTTGCTTTAACTCTTTTTTATTCTACTTAACACTTTCTCGTCTCGGGTGGAATTAATTAACAACGACGCCTGACATTAAAATGCTCTTGGCACAACCACGACTTGAACCTGGGGTCACACACTTGCAACACTTTGTCCTTACCACTAGACCATCTCGCCTACACTTGCTTTAACTCTTTTTTATTCTACTTAACTCTTTCTCGTCTCGGGTGGAATTAATTAACAACGACGCCTGACATTAAAATGCTCTTGGCACAACCACGACTTGAACCTAGCTTCACGCACTTGCAACACTTTGTCCTTACCACTAGACCATCTCCGCCTACACTTGCTTTAATTTTTTTTATTCTACTTAACGGTTTCTCGTCTCGGGTGCAATTAATTAACAACGACGCCTGACATTAAAATGCTCTTGGCACAACCACGACTTGAACCTGGCTTCACGCACTTGCAACAATTTGTCCTTACCACTAGACCATCTCGCCTACACTTGCTTTAATTCTTTTTTATTCTACTTAACTCTTTCTCGTCTCGGGTGGAATTAATTAACAACGACGCCTGACATTAAAATGCTCTTGGCACAACCACGACTTGAACCTGGCTTCACGCACTTGCAACAATTTGTCCTTACCACTAGACCATCTCGCCTACACTTGCTTTAATTCTTTTTTATTCTACTTAACTCTTTCTCGTCTTGGGTGGAATTAATTAACAACGACGCCCGGCATTAAAATGCTCTTGGCACAACCACGACTTGAACCTGGCTTCACGCACTTGCAACACTTTGTCCTTACCACTAGACCATCTCGCCTACACTTGCTTTAATTCTTTTTTATTCTACTTAACACTTTCTCGTCTCTATGAAAAATGACATAAGTGGCTAAAAATGGACGAAAAGTTAAGGCTATAGCCTTACTTTTTTGCTGTTTTTTTCCCACTTATGAAAAATGACATAAGTGGCTAAAAATGGACGAAAAGTTAAGGCTATAGCCTTACTTTTT